CCGCGTGTGCCAGCCCTCGACCCACTGGGTGGCTTGGCACTCTGAGGACACTCCTTTGCCACCTGCAGCAGAGGCTGTGGTGGGCTGGGGTCAGACAGCGGCGTCTGAACGTGGGGCACTGATTGGCCAGCTGGAGGCACAGTGGGAATGGGGCAGCCAGTGAGGATTCTGGGGCTGGGGCAGATGGGGATGGAGGAGGGGCTGTGATGGTCATTGAGGACTGATGGGTAGTCATCTGAGGGAGGAACAGAACAGGCAGAATAATGTAACACAATGAAATGTGCACAACCGTTAACAAGGATACAGTATAAGATGCATGAACAGCACTCGGTTGTTAACAGTTTCACTGAACCAGCAGAAAACAGTCTCATTTAAAGGTCAATTACTGCTTTTAACAGAGCAGCCACACACACACACACACACACACACACACACACACACACACCAACAACAACATTAAGCTGACATTGAGAAACACTAACATTCACGATTCCTCTGTGTGAAGTAACAGGAACAGGTTGTGCACAATCCCATGATATACAGCGTGTGTGGCGATGTCATTAATGTAAATAAATGGTCAATTAATTTCAGAGTGATCCATTAGCTCTCTGGATCCAAAGCTCATCAGCACCCTTTATTTCCTTCATGGACAATACATTAACATTAGGCTTTAGGGTACTTTGTTTACCTACTGAAGGTACCAGAGTGGGATAAGAAGGAGAGTGACGACATCTCCATTATCTTTATAGGGACAGTTGGGTTTTTTTGTTTTGTTTTGTTTTTTTACAGTAATTTACAGTAATGACGGATCATGGGAATGCTGAATAGAGTGCCATAGGGATGGTGTTTTGTTTTTTTTTGTAGGCCAGCCTGTAAACCCACAGAGGTGTATTCACTTACAACAGCTAATTAGACCTCTGCTCAGGTTGAAGTTGGGTGTCCACCAAAGTCCACGTACTAATAAGGAGTACATTTTCCCACCTTATTAACACTTACCACAAAATGAGCAGGAGAGTGAGTGAGATGTAAATCAAACCTGATCTGGACACGCCCGTTCAGTACTGTATAATAAGGCAGTATAATCCTGTGTGCGTGGACCACAGTCGCCTTTTCACAGCTCTGACATGTGTTACCAATAACGTTAATGATGGCTCTGTTCTACTGACGTACACTAGTAAGACAAGGCAGTGTGACAGGAAGCCAGCATGTACAACACAAGGACAAGCAGCTAAATGAAATGCAGCCGTCAAACTGTCACATCACATGTCAAAATGTTTTCAATGAAAAAGGCCTGTGGGTAAAGATTTCCACTGAGATAAAGGTTGACAACGCAATTGCAGACAAAAGTCTCAGTCCTCACAGTCTGACCTAGTTTTGACTGCTGAAGACCACAGAGAGCGAGCGCATGTATACATGAGTAATTAAGTGTTGCTCTGAGGTCAGGTTCAGGTGTTTCGAACCACACGCTCAGACATTCAGCCAGACACACAGAGACGCTCACATACTATACACACACAGTGTTTGTGTGTTATACCGCAGAAATCACCAAGAGTTTTCCTATTCTGGTTCACATCTCTGACTTTAACACAGCAACTGACTGCTGATACAAGAGCTCATTAGGTTTCAGCTGCACAGGCCTTGCGTTCATTGTCCGGCTGCCTGTATTCAACCTGAGACAAAAGCGGTCTTGCCCTTTATCTGATATTTTTTTGTTACTTCCCACTCAAGTGACATTCCAAAATGGGAGATTAAAAATGCTCGACATAATACAGTAGCTATTCTCAGCACATTGTACTTCTTTGGCAGCTGGATTGTGTGTGTGTGTGCATGTGTGTGGGTGGGTGGAGGACTACTCAATCTGTGGAAACAGTTTTTAAATTCTTTTGTGGTTCTGGACTGAGCAGCCCCGGTGTCATTCCGGTTGTCTCAGGTTGGACTTGGAGACTATGAATTGTTAAAAGAAAACCTCACTTGCAAACTGGGGGCATGAAGTTTGCCAAGCATGGATCATTTTCTTGCACAGGAAAGCTACCAAAAGATGCTATTGAGCTGGAAGCTGACTTTTAATAAGGACTAAATGTCAGAATATCCTGGCATCTGTTGTTTCAATGACTTATTTCTTCTGACTCTAGCAAGCCTTCCAACTTTGTAGAAGTTGCTGGAGTAACCCTTTAATCATCCCTCCATCTGGACTTCCCCATCTAACACAACCGTTTGTAATCCATTTGCATTTACTCTCAAAATCAGTCCTCTTTCAAAAGCTGACACACAAATCTACAGTGTCTTTAAGAGTTCTCTCTGCTTTTTGCCATTTTAATGGGTTTTTTTCTGGGGGGGTTGATTATCTGACAATTACCACTATGAGAAATAACAACAGCTTATACATCTATGACTTCACATCAAAACACTATCAGTCTAAACAACAACTAACAAAGTGGGTAAAATAACTCGAAGTGATGTGGGTCTGAAAGCTAAAGAAAAACCAAGTTTGTGCTTCTAAGATAGATACCTGTTTGTTAACCCATTTGGGTTATTTTTCCAAGGACAATACTTACAACACTGGCGGATGCTTACAAAAAGTAAACCTAGTAATGTCGATCTCCTGTCTGCTCACCTCTTTTGATGCCCTGCGCACATTTGGTGCAGTCTGTTGGGTTGAAAGAGCTCCCTCCTCTGGGGATGGCTGGAATCACACTGGTATAAGCGGAGTAGCCATTGATCCTGCAGGACTCTCCATAGCATGGCTCCACTGAGGTGCAGCAGTACATTGGATGGGTAATCCCTGAGGGCTGCGGGCCTGCGCTGGGGAAAACCTTGGGTCTCTTGCCACTTCTTGGGCATAAAGCAAGGGGTGATATGGGTGAGGGGGAGGTGTCTGGGCGGCTGAAGTGGACATAGTAGCCAGGGAAACAGGTGTAAGTGTGTGGGCTGATGGCTATGGCTGCTGGGTGGGCTACAGAGTGCGGGGACTGAAGATGGTGGTGATGATGATGATGATGATGGTGGTGGTGGTGGTGGTGGAGCACGTCGGACAGCGAGCCGTCCTCTGGTTCCTTGAAGGTCTTGTCCTCCAGGAAGAGGGCCATTCTGTGACAGTACTCGACACACCTCTCCTGGGAGCAGCAGTAGCAGGAAGATACCTCGGCCTCCACCTGCTCCTCTTTGATTGTTTTTGAGGGGAAGCCCAGTGTAGAGCCATGCTGGAGTGCATGTTTCGCACTCTCCCGCCCCCCTGTGGTGTCTTCCCACTTGTGATCCAAAGCCTCTGCCTTACATAAACTACAACAACCCAGGATGGTAGAGCCCAGCTGGGAATGGACTTGATCCTCTGTACCCTGTTTTCTGTGATTTAGTTCCTCCTCATATTTAGAATGCATTGTTCTTTTGGTCTGTGTTGCTCCTCCACACACAGCTTTACCATTAACCTCGTCCTGAGATTTAGCTGCTGCTTCACTTCCACTTGCCGGCTTGCACTCTGTCTTCTTATGCCGTTTGGTTCCATACGTATCGCTGGTCAGTTTGAGCAGTGCTGCAGCAGTGAGGCCTGCCTGACGCCTCGGCGTCGGTGCAAACAGGCTCAACCAGTCGATGTTCTGAGCCTCTGTTGCTGCCCGCTTCTGTTTTTTAGGTCTGTATTTTATAGCTGCTTTTCCTCCGGAAGGAACCTTTTTGACTTTATGATCTCTATGTTCAGTTTCAGTAAGACTATCTTTAGCTGGATATTTGCTGGAAGGCTGTTGTTTCTTTGTGAGATTTGATGTGAGAGAATCATTTCTGTAGAGCAGCAAGCTGTTGACAGCCTCAGCGTTAAGAGAGGCCATTCTTCGCCTCCGTGCCTCAAAGACAGGTGTGGTACACATGAGTAAGGCGTCAGATTGGTTGATTTTTGGTTCCAGTGCTTGCTGATGGGCTGTAAAAGTTTTCTTTAATCCAGATTTGGTCCTTCTTTGAGTAGAGCTGCAGCGCAGCTTCTTTTTAACTTTCACACTCTTTTGTTTCCAAGCTTTTGGTGCATTCCTTTTTTTACCCAGAACTCCTTTCTCCTCCAGACGGGTGAGCAGGACACAACAGTCCAGTGCATCTCCATCACTCACTGCCAGTGTCTTCTTCCTACATTGGTGGGAGTTTTTGTCTTTCTTCTTCTTCTTTCCTCTCAGCTCATTCTTTCTCTTTTTCCCTTTTTTCACACCACCTCGTTTTTCCTTGCCTCCCTTCTCCCTCCAGGGCTTCCCACATTTTATGGGCTGGCTCCGCTGAGCTTTCACCATGGTCTCAGCGTTCGGGAGCAGATGCACCACAGCCACTTCATCCACAAGGTCCTGCGCTGGTGGGTTTCTGCTCAGAGAGGGCCTTTAGTGAGCATCATCAGGGACCATCAGATGGGTACATACACTCTCTGGGGAAACACAGATCAGACATTTAACCACACAGAGACGCCAGTCTTGTAAAATCAATGTTCTGATGCATTAGTTAACAACAGATTTTTCTATCAATATGACTACTTAGACAAGCCTTCTGCTTAACATGCAACCAGGATGGAAAAGAGATTGAGATAAAAAGTGCATTATGGTATGCTATGTTTAAGTTTGAGGCCATATGTACTCCAAATGATTTCTCATTTCTGATTTCTGTTTAGTTTAAAATGTGCCCTTAGATCCTCGTGCTGTAGCTGCTGTATGTTAGAATTTAGGATTGCAGCCAAAACCTTTTCATTCTTTGTATTAATAAATACCATTTTCAGCTCTTTGAACCCAGGTTGAGGCAGATTAATGACTCACACGATCCAGCAGGAGGCCAAAATTACAAGCATTCACCCACTCACAGCTAAAACACAGAAGCACAGAACAGAAACAAATGAGATATTTATGAGAGGTCTTTAAAATCTGATATACTAAAGCTTTTAGAAGTGATTTGAATCTTTAATTCACAATGCCACTGATTTAATTTTAGCAACAGCTACAGCCTGTAACTGATTTTCATATGCGTTACTATGGCTCAGTGTGTGTAACTGATTAAACATAAGTTTCACCTCCATGGAGTACAAATTTAAGTTGTTTGAGCTCAAAGGGCGAATGAACTCTTAAAAATCCCTGTGTGTTATGAAACGAAGGAATAATTTTAAAACATTTGAAGACACAAAATCAAAGAGTATAGTCAAATGACTCGTGGACTGATCAGAATATCACCAAAAAACTGGTGGCAGAAGCACAGAGGCTTCTTCAGTTTCCATGTCGACAGGATGGTACAGAGCACATCAAAGCTTACCCAGCAACTTTACTGTAAAAGATGCATAATCAGCTTTACAACCCTCCTTCATTTACAAGCCTTCCCACTCTCTCAACATAAAAAACACCGCACTTAAGGAAAGTTTCTGATGATTCAACTGCTAGTGACCTCTATGCAATGACACTCCTGTGTGCAGCGAAAGAGATGGATCATCCCTGCTCCTGCAGCCCTTAAACACAATTATGCTACTTGACCTCCAAGAGCGAAGTCAACACAGGTCGTTTTTCTATTAAGTGACTCTTCAGCTACAAAACCATTCAGCTCTCACAACTGCACACTTGCTCAAAAATTCCCAAGTGCCATGTTTCTATTAATACTGTACCTGACACATCATGGACATTATCAAATCAATTAGGTGACTGTTTCTTTAACAACCTGCTAATTTTGATAGTGAATTTCTGTGGCTCTCAGATTTCTATTGTTACAGTACATAAATTATCGGATGCGTTATTGACTGTCAATCAGTGAATCTCAGATGTCACATTTCTGTCAGGTCTTTTTACACCAGTGAATTTTGTGCTGTGCTTAAACTCAGTCTATAAAATGATCCATACACCGCCTTCATGTATTTGAAGGAAAGTGAACAATTACAAGTTGAGCTGTCATGAATGTACTGTAAGGCTGCAAACCTGGTTGTTTTCAGTAATGATTCAACTGCAACTGAACCACAAATTTGTCTCTTTTCTCCCCGCTGTTATATACCCTGGAGAAGCAGTTGATAGCTGATGGATGGATGGAAAAAGTTCCTCATAATTTCTTAGAACCCCAGTTAATATATTTATGTCTTGCTTGGTCCAACTACAGCCCATTTTAAAGTCATATAAAACAGAGAAAAGCTGCCAATCCTCTTGTTTGCCACCAGGCCATTGCCTGCTCTGCAGCACAGTACTGGTAACAGTTATAAACCCTTAATTCATCATTTCCAATCAAGAAAAATGCACCAGAAAGACAGTGATGACAGGTTAGGACTCAAAGACGCATGTAAAATCTAATAAAAACTGTTTTTGTTCTGCATAATAATAAAAGCATTACTTACAGTAACATCTTATTTAAGCACTCAAGTATTTACACAACTTCATCTCATCACCAAGCATCAAAGCAGCAATAGTTTTATTCTTTTACGACAATAAACTTGCTATCAGGTCAGCAACTTAAAGCAGGTCTGGAAAACTGAAACCTAGTGTGGTTTTTTGTTGAAGCACCATAATTACAAGGAACAGACAGAGTGCTGAGGTTTATTTTATTTCTTTTTTCTGTCCATAACAACATACTGTACCAATCTGCCGAGGATCTTCTACAGCAACTGTAGAAGATATTTCTAAAACCTAAATATTTTTGCGACTATGGAAGCTGCAATTCGTTAGCATTTTATAAAACCGTTAAGATGATACCAGAGTTACAGTGAATGAAAAATAAAAATAAATAAATAAAAACAAATTCGCTTTGACTTTGCAGTGGACACAACCGGACATGTTCAAACCATCTCATAGCTCAGTCTGCCTTTATTGCCGAATGACTTGGTGAACCGTGAAATGCAATCCATGGGAAAGAAATTAAATTTCCAGATAACAAGAGGACAGAAGGAGCCTCGCATTGAGTTTCTGTCTGCGGATATCAAATCAAGTTGCTTCATTTGAATAAGACAAGCATGCACAATGGAAGGACAGGAGCTTATTGAAGAGCCTTGTTATTTCCCTGTTAGACCTTCACCACTCTGACCACAGCTAAAAACAGGACATATAAACTTTGAAAACCCTGTTTGTCAATCAGCTGATTGTTTGAGACATATTTTAAGCAAAAACAGTAAACAATTGTCCAGCTGCAGCCCCTTCAGTGAGTTTTATATCACAGTAAACTGGGCTGTTGGTTGGACATAACACATCTGACAATGTCAGCTAAGATGGGGGGTGATGGAGAGTTTTCACAGTTTTCTGACATGTTATAAAACAAAGCATTAATCTATCCATTGAAAAATAACGGTGGCATATTATCTGATAATGAACAGACCTAATATATCCGAAGTGATATATCTGAGGGTTTTTGATAGAACGTGATGAGATAATCACAAAACGATTAACAGGATAAGATAAGCACATTTTTCATATCTGTTCTACACAAATGTAGGTTTATTTTATTTTGTATGGTTACTCCATGAATTCCCTTTTCTTGTGTGATGCTCGATAATCAGGTCTCCTAAAATACTCACATGAAACTACTGGAATAATGTCCATTTGTGTCCCCTGATGGCCTCAGTGGGAACGTGAGTTACTGTGTAGGTGAACAGAAGAGTTATTTCCCACATGGCTGGTTCATATGAGGGATTTAAAGCTAAGGTTGGCAGCTCTTTTTGTTACATATCTTGAAATTCTCTTTTCATCCCAGTGGCAATGAATGCATTAAATGCATTGACAACAAAGAAACAAATACATCATCTCTGGCAGCAGCAGGGCTTAAAAAAGCCTGACCAATAATTTTACTCAGCATGAGCGAAACCACTGGATGGCCTACCTGCCTGTCAACCTACTTCCTACTTGCGTGCACCCTGCGCTTGCATGAGCCAAGAGTCAGGCAGGCAGACATGTTACCACTCTGTTTTGATAGCTAAAGCTAGGAAGCTATGGCAGAGAAGGCACCCACAGCAGCTTTCGTTCGCAAATGGAGACCGTTGTCACAGGCCAGGCCTTCCCCTTTCAGACATGTGGCCTTATAGGTACTGTTGTGGTTGTTGCCACCAGTGTGCAGTGTGAGAGCGAGAAGACCACCGCCCTGAACAGACTCCTTTTACACGCAGCCACGGGTGGGGAGGATACCAACAGTTGTCAGCTCTAAGTGTATAGATAGGATTGTAATGCAGTTAACTGGGCATCAAAGGCCACATGCAGTGTTTGTGTTACCAAGACGGAATAAAGTCTGTGTTTTGAGCGGGGTTAACTGGCCTCCCTCTCTACTTCTCCCTGCCTGAAAGGCCTGGAGTTCTAAGGCTAGTCATCAGCTACGATTCAGGGTTAAAGCAGTTTAGCCATGAACCAGGGGTCCCCAACTACAGTTTGGGGCCACAGATCTGGGCGGGCAACACCGTGTTTGAGAAAGTTACAACTAAAAAGAAGTTGGATGCTGCAAGAAGTAAAACCAGAGTTAACAGTGATGTGGCCTTTGAACAACGTCGACAACTGAGAGAACAAAAGGGGCTGAAAAGTGCCGCCATGGTGGCCGCGTTTCTGCTGGAAATGATCGGTTTTGCTTTGTTTGGGGGCATTTGTTATTTTCTTGAAATCTGTAAGTAGCAGTGCATGTTGCTGAGCACGTTGCAGAGCCTGTTGTGCTTTGGAGGAGTGGCTTTGGAGAGAAGTCAGAACAAAAAGAGAAGAAGCAAAAAGCAATATAAGACATAAAATCTATAAATAATTCTGTTGTAATGTGGATGTTCTTGTTCTTTTGTATCCCTTTAAACTGATACCGTCAGATTTGTCCTTTTGGGGTCCTGACCCTCAGGTTGGAAACCACAGATTTACAAGAACATACTGTATTTCTACTTCTGAAACCACAGGGTTTTTTTTTTGTAACAGAATTAAAAAACCTTTCCTCAGCTATTGTGCAACATAAAGTCAATGGAGCACAACTGGCACATAAAACCTACTTAGTAATAATTCCATGCCATGGATTTGTCCCCCTCTCTCCTCCTGATGGCTTATTAACTGAGTGCACTTGTATCAGGAGTCAGATGGAGGAGGAGGTGGATGCGCCGCCTGCCTGTCACACAGACCCATTCAGAAGAAGGACATGGTGTCGAGCTGTCATCATGAGGGGAAAAAAGCGATCTAAGCTGCCGGTGCTGTGTGTGCAGCTCCACGGAGTGCGCATCACCAAGTGCACTTCTAGAACAAATCAGCGGCGCAACACCACCGAGGCTAAGCATCCCTCCACCACCAACACCGCCTCCCTTCACCTCCATGCAGGTTGAGGCAACAACAGTTCAAACACACCCACGGCCACGCACGGATCTGGATTATTTCAAGCAAACATTATGGGCAACGTGATGCACGCATCGTAGCCAGGCTGTGTAAAAACAGACTCGCCTCTGGAGCTTGTAGTTGGCCATGGTGGTGCGCGTCCGCCAGTCTGTCAGCATGCCGTAGCAGGAGTGGAAGGAGAAGTGAGGAGAAACGAGTGTACAACACCAGAACAGCCTCGGTAAATGCGGAGCTGCTGGTTCATATCAGAATCATTGGGAGCTCGTTTAACAGCCGAGTTGTTAGAAACAGCTACCGATCGATCCTATCGTCTCCAACTGTGACGAGAATCACATACTGTACTGCCACAATTCATCATTACCTTGTGTGTCCCCGTCGAAAATTTTAAATCCCTCCACTTAAAAAAAAAAAATTGAAACAAAAATAATCCCGTCCGTGCTTGTGTCTCAGTTTCCACCCGGTCGGACTGTCGACCCGGGGAGCGATCCGCGGACCAAAGAGCCCACAGCAGCCGGAGACATGGTGAACAAATCGGCGAGCGTTGACCTACTTCCGAAGTGGCACGCTGGAGGTAATATTCATGCGCTGCCTGCATTCACATGCACCGGGACATCCCTCAGTAACGCGAAATCACGCTCATCATGCATGGAAACGCAACATGCACTTACAGCCTTACGTATTTTCCTGTAAAATCTTACAGAAACACTAAACATCCCCCTGGAAATCACCAAACTTCCCCCAGTAAGATCACTTAACAACAGGGACCAGCAATCACCTGGCAGCTGAGCAGCGAGGCAGTTTTAGTTCCTTCTCGTCCGTTTACGCCAAACACGCTTAAAATCCAAGTTAGAAATAACTATAGAAATAAGTAATAAACTCTAGGGAATAATATACTGATTGCCTACTATAAATGTCACATGCAAGTGAACAAGGAGTAGCCTGAAAGATCACTTTAAACTATAGGCCTCATTACTGTCTAACAGGTTCATTCTAAAATGTTGTGTAAAGAATATAAAACAACATAATCTTACTGTAAACTCTGTGTATAAAACACACTGCATCCCTAAGGTTGCACACAGTTACCTGACTATGATAGTTAACAGGCAAGAAAAGCCAGTAACTGCAGGCTAAGGTCTCTATGTTGATGTCCACATGGAAATATAATAGAAATAATAGTTAATACTAGTAGATTATTATAAGCTCACTGCATGTAAACTGTGCTTTGGTTCCTATATGTGCAGTTAACGGTAACACAAACAGTATTTTGAATGCAGTCTGAGTATTTTCAAAGGAAAAATTTCACTTGTGCCTTTCTGATTTTATGGATTTATATAATAAACTGATCTTTGGTCTTTTCCATTTACAAAGTAAAACAGTGGGGTCTAAGAATTTGTGATGATCTTCTATTTACAATTTGTTGTTATTATAGAGATCGATTCATTGCAAACAATAACTGGAAGCATAACCGACAATTAAAGTAATTGTTAGTTGAAGAAACTACAAATTTTGACTGTTATGCGACATCATGTGACTGTTTTATTACATGAGATCATAAAACGACTATCAAGCACATAAGGTCCTGTACAGTATAACAGCAACATAAAGGCCATTAAGTATAAAATCACTGTCAAGTCAAGTACTATATCCATAATATGAATTTAGTATCCCTCTCATTTACTGCGTCCTGTTAATGATCTAATAATGTGGCTGAATGATCAGTTGCTGCTTGTCATTTATTGCCCTATATTTCCTGAGGAAACAGAAAAGATCAGCCTGTAAAAAAAAAAAAAAAAACATTTATGAAATCCACCCTACCAGTGGTGACCACTGAGCTGATTTAGTCTGCATTCGCTTTAAAGGAACTCTTCCACATATGTACCAAACAGCAAGCAGGTTCTAAACAACAAACTGAGTGGAAAGCCACTATGTTATCAAGTTAGCATGTAGTCATGCTCAGCTGGGATAAATGCAGACTGTCCTCAACAATACCAGCTTTACAGTGTGTAATTAACAGCTATACATGAGCTGAGTGTTGGAGAATAAGAGGGTGTTGGTTAATGAGACATGGGCACCGGGGGAAGCTGAGGGAGTAGAGACTGCTGAGTGCTGACCTGTACTGCAAGAATCACACTGCAACGCGCTGCAGTGAGATGCACGAAACCGAGCAGGACGACTACGCACTACTGGTGACGATGCAGTCATACAGCAGGCATTGAAATCATTGCTGAAAAGCAAAGTCTAATCAAAATGTTTGACAAAATTAGACTGAAAAAATCACATTTTCAATTGTAACTTATTATTTTTACCCTTGTCATTTTACAAAGCGGTCCAAACACTGACAAATGATTTTGAATAGGTTACATTTTCATGATTAGGTGTGATATGTATTTTGTCCAAAACTGAATGCAGTTGTCTAACCCAATCAGCTGTTTAATGTTTGCATTAAATCTTATTTTCTGGAAACAACTGCTAAGTTTATTTGATATAGCAAATTCCTTAGGAAGTAATTTGCTTTTACACATTCAGCAGTTAGAGAGCAACAACACTGTTCATTTGGGTTTCTAGCTACTTGACAAATGTACAACCAAATAGTTTTTAGTTCTGTTTTTGGTTTGTGCCAACCCCTGAGGGAACAGTCTGACTCTACAGCTGTTAAATAATCCATTATGTTCACAAGCTAGCTAACCGCTAACATCGCCATCACTGAAAACTACTGCGGCAGAATTTCTTTCTGTGACATTACTAAAACAAAACTATAATTACCGTTTCACGGTTGTATGCCTCCGCTAACCAGTCAAATTCATGGGTCAAAAGTGAGGTCATTGACCTTGACCTTTGACCACCAAAATCTAATCACTTCATTATTGAGTCAAAGAGGACACTTCGCCAGCACGGAGGCATAATAGTAAGCTGAAAGATGCTACAAATCTCAATGCAATAAAAATATAAAAATCAACACTAAGGAAGGCAAGTAGATTTGAGAATTAACACTTCCCCAAAAATTGGAAACTGTCATGATTATGGAGATACCCAAAAAAACCAGACCATCACAAACAGAATCAACAGGGATCAAATAGTTCAGGGAAATTAAGTTTTAGATTCCACTGTGTACTCATCTGCAGGAGCAACTGCTCTGATGCGAGGCTACGCAGGGCACAGGAAAACTGTCGGCAAACATCCATTTCACTGTGAGCCATGTATTAAGATTGTAAACTCAACAGCACTGCTACAGAGTTGTGGTCCTTTGTATCATCTTAGTGTGTTCCTGACCATTTTCATGTCAGATATCTCCAAATTGATCTACATTTGGCCTTATATCCCCATTCAACAAGATCTAGCCCCAGAAACTCTCATCTCAGGAGATATTTACTGAAGATGATGAATTTTTCATTCCAAAGGCAGAGAGGTAGTATCGAGGTGAGTGAAATAACACTTCAATACTTTATTGATCCCTTTCTCTACTTGACACTGGCTGTAAAGTCAGAGCTCAGATTAGACCAGCCGGCCCCGAGCTGCCAGAGCGTCAGTGCACTGTATACAAAAAGTGCTCTGTATGAAATGGTAGACAGACAGTTAGCAATTAGCTGCCAGTGGCTAAAGAGGCAGACATTTCCACCATGAGATGGTAGAGACCAAAAATAGAGCAAAAAGACAGTAGTGGACTTACATTAACCAGAAACACAACCCAAACTGAACACTGCTGGGTGTGTAAATTAGCAACTGTTTGCTAACAAGCAACTATAAAAACTCATGATATATGTATGCATATATACATATGATTACATTTTTACTTTTCAAAGACAGATCTGGATTATTTTTAATTCTGCATTATTAGATGAGTCTGACTATATGGAACATACCTTTCAGAATTTAGGTGAGTGTTATGAAACAACAGCACAGAATTAAAACGGTCAGCAAATCTCAATTTTGCACATTAATGGAAGATTATCTCTGTGACTTCAGTGTATACAATACAAGAAGGTCATAAACTGGGGCTAATTGAAGGGTTACTTTTTGTTGCCCCTCATCACCCATGATCACATAGCCAGGATTCTGAGATACATTTCGTTCTCTGACGCCTCAACTGTGGAAGATTCCATATTAAAGGGGAACTTAGCCAGAGTTTGAGTATTAAAAGTGGAATACTATTTTCTTCACTTAAGCAAAAGAGAACTAACTCTAGCTATGACTATTCTCAGACACCTCCACTCCTGTTTTGGGGTCCTCCTGGACTCAGAGTTTACAAGATCAGCTGCAGTCCTGGGTCCAGGAGGTGCGGACCCAGCCAGAGGTACAAACGGGTAAAGCTTGTGACCTCTGATCTTCCAGATTGTCTGGCTCCTTATCATTGGAGGGGTGGGGAGGAGACTCTAACAGACAGGTCCTTCACCTCATGCAACCACTCTTTGTCCTGAGTATAGCTTAGTGGCGTTCAAGAAGCTGATATCCTTCCTACAGTAGGTGCTCACACATAGCAATAATTTGTTAATGCACCAAAAAGTGTAAAAACCATCCCACCCATGAATGTGGCCTATTTAGCTGCACAAAGAAAAGTAGCAAGTGTTTACTGTTATTTTCACAATATGGTAGGAGAGAAAGTAAAGTTTACAGCAATCTTTTGATACTACAGTGAGCTATATATTTTCATGTACTGATTTGCACAGTAATCCACTGAAGTCATTCAGGAGGCCTGGACACAGTGTATGTTAGCCACACCTTTCTGAAGAGTGTGACAGAGAGTAGTATTTGTGTCATGCATGGCTGGTAGCAACGATGTGAACCACAGCTGGCTTGTTTGTGTGATAACACATTCAAGCAAGTAAAAAAACTTTTAAAGGGAGAATATCAAAACATAAGAACTGAAAAACACAGAGGGAAATTAATAATACAGCTTCAGGGGAAATCTGTGGGAATTTCCAGAGAGAAAGCATCAACACAAACTGATAAAATAGGTGATACATTACAGAGAGAAAGTAGGCAGGACACCGGCAATGTCCAAGTCTTGAAACAACCAAGACACTGATGCTGCAGAAGCAGGTATCAAATCAAGGTTAAAAAAAAATCTATGTCAAGGACACAAAAAGCGCATCAGGTTGAAAACCATAGGCTTGCTACACTACAGAACAAGCAGTACATCTAATTTTCCTCAGCTTCAACGCGTAGCCTGCAGATGTAAAGATGACGGTTACACACTGGAGAGCAGATACAGGACAGGAAGCGTAATTATCTGCTTCTACTGTTCCTCTTCAATGAGACGGGGCGAGGCGAGATGCCAGACAGCCTGACTGGCAAAGAGGGAGAAGGAAAAAAAAAAGAGTACGAGACAAAGAGAGATAGTGATGAAGACTGAAGCAAAGCATCCGAGAGGAGTGGGAAAGTGGAGAGGGAATCCACATCGAGTAGAAGAAAAGTCTAACTCAGTAGAAATCAGAGGAGCAGTTTTTATGTTCACCCGCCTGCTTTTCTTTGCGCTACAGCGTGGGGGGGTTCACGACAAGAGAGTGATGGATTGAGAAAGCACAGAGAATGGAGACAGAGTGAGACTGTCATCATCATCATGAACAATGACTCT